TACTTTCATGGTACTACAATCTGTCGATATCTATAGTTTGGCATTGCACAAGGTCATGTTTTTCTATGACTGTTAATGACGTCTTTACACTAAATATGTTGGATGTGTACTGATTGATATTTTAGTGTTAGATACATGATTTTTTCATTAGTTGTTATTGGCTTAAACTAGCTGCCAGTAACTGCGAGTATTCTCAGATCTATACTTAGTGTCTTTTTGTTTTTGGGATGTATAAGTACCCGTCCACGTCCACTCTGTGTTTTTGTTAGATGTATTTCTATTTGTATCCATCTGATGAGTTAATAGATATAAGAAGATGTAGTTTGAGTGCCAATGAGACAACTCTCCATCCAAGTCAAAATTTATAAAAGTAAACCATTATAGGTCAAAGTACGGTCTTCTACACGGAACCTTGGCTCACACCGAACAGCAAGCTATAAAGAACCCCAAAAATTACTAGTGTAAAACCATTCAAACGGGAAAACTAACGGTATAATTTATATAAAAAACGAAAAACGAAAAACACTTATGAACCACATCAACAAACGACAACTACTGAACATCAGATTCCTGACTTAGGACAGGTGCAAACAATTGCAGCGGATTTAAACGTTTTAATGGTACCAAACCTTCACCCTTATCTGAAACAATAAGCCTTTTTCAACTGATTTTTATAGTCTGTTCTTATGTTGTACTGTTACACCATTGTCCCAGGTTGGGGGGGAGGGGGGGTGAGCGCTCACAAACATGATTAACCCCGCCACATTTTTAAGTGCCTGTCCAAAGTCAGGAGCCTGTAGTTCAGTGGTGGCCGTTGGTTCATGTCTGTCATATTTGTTTTTCGTAAATTGTTTTGTTATAAATTAGGCCGTTAGTTTTCTCAATTGATTTGTTTTATATTTTTCATGTCGGGGCCTTTAATGGCCGACCATACGGTATTGGTTTTTTTCTCATTGTTCAAGGTCACATCTCCTTATTTTTAAATGGAGTTATTCCTCTTTGTATTGGCTCTCTCCCCTCATGTATAAATTTTTAATCAATGTTTCCATATCTGTTCTTAATTATTTTTAATTATTAACAATCAGTATGTATGTTAGATTACATGTGTTGTTTGTGTGGATGTTGAATGAAATTTGTGATTTGTATTGATTTATATGCTCTATATGGGCCCTTAAATTAGGAATACGGACATTTGATTTGATATATTAACATAACATTGTCATGTTGATTGCAGGTGCTTCGGTAGGGTAAGCAGATCCTGCTTCACACGTGGCACCCGTTATACTGCTTATGGTAGATATTAGATAATCAGTCTCACTCGGTGATGTTACAAAATATACTTACAATACTTACAAAATCGTTCGATATTTTCTTCTCCTGTTAAGAAACCATGTAGTATACGATCGTTTCATCCTTTCTTTTCCAGTTGCTACATTTGAATTTATTATATAATGGTGAAGTGGTCTGCAAAACAAATGTACATGTATATCAAGTTTAAGTTCACCGTAAAATCATAGATGCATAAATATCCAGAAAAGAATACCCAATAGATGTTCATTGATACATTTCACTTTATCCTGGAATGACTTAACTCAGCCTCGTCATTTATTCAACATCCGCCGTATTAAACACTGATCAGTGAAAAACTAGCCCGATGGTCACCACAGTAGATTGAAAGATCTGACAACTATTATTGTGTAGATATTTTTAATCTAATCGTATCTCCATATCTTATACCCATTTGTGATGATGAACATTAAAGATCATTAAACCTGTGTAGTAGTTGTAATCGTGACTGATTGGGTAGTGTTTGTGTTTCGAGCTCTTTCCTGATAAAGATTCTGGTAAGTGTGAACATGCTGGCGCGTTACGGATCATTCTATAAATAAACATCAATACAATAGGACAGAGCTAGGGTATGTTATTACTGAAAAATCGGAAATGAACAATTTAAATATTCAGTCAAAATTTATGGTATCGCTTGTCAGTCTTTTCAATGAGATCCGATTATAACCTCCTTTGCCTAATAAATAATCTATATGTTTTAACTATTTTTTGTTACATTTTCCTTCAAATTCTTATAATCATTAAAAATAAAAACACAAAAATAAAACTTTTTATCAACTGAAAATTGAATATCAGTTTCTTATAACCATGAATTGAACTGCTTTGTCTCTCATCGATCAGCCCTTGTTCTCCTGTGATTGACAGTTTCATGAGAACAGATTCATTTTTATTAATTCTTTGATATACCTATGCTTGTAGGTTGTATCAATATTGATTTGAGCGTCATTGATGAACCTTGTGATGACGAAACGCGCGTCTGGCGTACAACATTATTATCTCTTTAGTACAGCTACATATCAATTATTGTCTTAAAAGCTTTTTATTCCAACTATGGCAATTTTGTCTGAAAGTATACATATAAGTTACTGACTTTTAAATTAGACGTTCTACGTAGTTATAAATGCAGTTATACTTTTGGGTGTATTTCATACAGCAATGCCATACACAGTTCAGGAAAAAGAGTATTTTGTGCAATTCCGAAAGTAAATTTGAATAGATTTACATTTAAAAAAAAATAACCACTTTTCTATTCACACTTTAAATACTTGAGTTGCTGTAAATTATAAATAGTTCCTGAAGGAAATACTGAATACTAACAGCAAAATTGCCCTTTTCTCTATACTTTGAGGTAGATATTCTACTGCAACGTCACAAATACGATTACTAGTATGTGCACTTCCAAAAGTAAAAGGATATAGACTTACAATGTAAAGAACAAAAAATGTAAAGAACAAAACATACTTTTTCCTCAAACTTTGAATATTCAAATTGTTGTCATTACAGAAGAATATTTGAGGATATGCCTATTTCGGTAGGTCACATTCGGGGGAAAGGGGACGATATAGCAGTTACAACAATTGGAACATATCCGTCGTCATCTGTGAAACAGATATTCCATAACGGTCAACCAACTCATGATGGCGTCCATACATTTTACGAAGGGATGATTTCAACTTCACCTCTTGGAACTCTTGGTTTAATAGCAAAAGGAAAGAATAGATTACTAAAAGTGTAGAGAGATCAAAATGTGAAATACACGGTGGACATTTTGATCTCTCTTTGTCTTTCTCTTGAAACAAAATTTGGTCAAAAACTTGGTGAAGAAGTTGCCTCACTACCTCAATAGAAGCAACACAACTGGAGGGCATGAAATTATCAATTAGCTTATCAACGGCAATTTAGGCCAAAACAAATATTTTTATTACCTGTGTACGTTATTTTATTTGGCAGCAAGGTTATGGTTGTCTTTCTGATATTGTTTTACATCTAACCTCCTTGTTTTATCAATTTTGTATTAACATTGTGTCATAGATCAAATTTATTCGTCCAGTGTATGTTCACTTGTTTTTGTTTTGATTGAGTAAAGCCATTTCAATTGATATTTTATAGTGTGTCTTTCTATGTTGTGTTGTTACACTATTGTTTCAGGTAGGGTGAAGGTAGGCGCCTATTAAAACGTTTAAACCCGCTGCATTTGTTTGCACCTGTCCTAAGTCAGGAACCTGATGTTCAGTGGTTGTCATTTGTTGATGTGGTTCATAAGTGTTTCTCGTTTCTCGTTTTTTATATGGATTAGACCGTTAGATTTCCTGTTTGAATGGTTTTGCACTAGTCATGTTGGGGCCCTTTATAGCTTGCTGTTCGGTGTGAGCCAAGGCTCCGTGTTAAAGGCCGTACTTTGACCTATAATGGTTTACTTTTACAAATTTTGACTTGGATGGAGAGTTGTCTCATTGGCACTCATACCACATCTTCTTATGTCTATATAGGCACTGGCTACAGTTACGTTGTAATGTAACAATAATAAAAAAAGTAATTGTTACATTGGACACTAATTGCCGGAGGTTGGGTTAGGACCCGATTAATTACAAACGTAACAAAAGTATTTGTGTCTACGGTTAATAATTGCTGGGACTAGTAATATGTATTAAAATACAACTTGAAAACTCTTATTCGTAAACACTGCAATTCTACAATATTGCATACATTTTTTTTGATTTTATTAATACTAATGGCAGCTTCTCACACATCCAGTATGTGCTTTTGGGAGCATGCTTTAGTCCGACGCATTTTTTTGTGAAACCACTATAGGCAGCCATCACAAACAAGTGTTGCAGCTGTAGTGTGCACGTATGTTTTGCAGACTAAACAGTTCCATTCTGCAATACCCCTTTTTGAAGTATATCAACTTCCAATGTCTGCCATGCTACAAGTGAAAAATATAAATGTGCATTTTTTCGTGTGGGGTTGTTTTATGTTGCCTTTCAATATCATTTCATTTCCGTCCATTACTGATGATATGTTTATCTCTGATTTCAATATCCAACTTAGCATGTCTGAACTTGATGGGGAAAAAAAAACCCACAATAAAACTTAAAAATATAAGCCGAGAAATATTTGTGAAGGCAATCAAAGTGATTTTGGCATTTGCCGAATGTTGTCAACAGTATTTATAGGTGGAGATGGACCTATTTTCATTTTCAGAGTCCAGATGTTTTGTGATTTCGTTCTTATTGGCGACGGTGCATGTTCTTTTGAACAGTTCATCATGATCAAGTATTAATTAATCAGTAATAGTGCCATTAAATTCATAAAAAAAATTTCACTCTTGTTTTTGATATTTTTTCAGCTTACCTCAATATCTACTGTCCAGTATTTTTGTAATTAAACAATTTACTTTCTTTCCTTTGATCGTCTTTTTAGAAACGTCAAGACTCTAACGTAACAATAACACAACGTACCCGTAGACACAAATATTATTGTTAACGTTAGTGTCCAATGTAACAATAATTTTTGTATTATTGTTACATTTCAACGTAACCGTAGCCAGTGCCAAACATATAATGATGCCACATATGCAATATTCAAAATAATACAAATAATATAGAACAATATAGTCCTTTCATCAGACGATTTTAATAAAAACAAACACACCACGAAGATGATCTTTACTTGAAAAAAATTAACAACCAATTTTCCAGTTTACCATCCCATGCTTAATTAAAGTATTCATGTTATGAGGTCGTTTTGACGATGAGCATATTTCGTGTTGCTTTTGATGACCTTCTGTCGTAGAACTAACATATTGGATGTGAAACACCGGCTAAAATTATAAAAAATCAAATGTATGAAAGACTAATGGTGCCTACTTAGATGAAAACATAATAAATGATACAAAATTTCCTAACTAATCAAGAAAATATGTGACAGTAGATTATTATGTGATTAGATTGGTGTATTGTTGACTTAAACCCCAAATCTTTTATTCGTACTTCCTAAAACAAACTTACGATGGCATCCTCTTTGGAAATTGAGTCTTGGTCATCTACCTTTACAGAAAGGAGAATGTGGCAATTGCAGTCCCAAAGCAAGTTTTTTTTTAGATATTACGAGAGTGTCAGTCTAAGTTCTTGAACACATTCTACATGGATGTAAATGAAAGCATTATAACGAATTTCATATAGACACCAACACTGCATCATGTGGTAAATAGTGAACACTGAAATCTTTAGTTTATGAATACAAATTGTATTGTTGTTGTCTTATCATAGGTTTGAAACCATTTCTACTCAACCTCAAATGGTGGATTGGAAGTCAATTTGATGACTGTAGACAGACATCACCTAATGATTATATTTTAAAAACCTGAATGTAGATCTTGTAAATTAATTTGGTTTAACAGTCAGAAACCGTTCAGTGTAAATGGGGGAGTATTTAATAAACAATTCTTACTGAATCAAATCAGCATTACAGGTCGGTGATAATATAAACTGTCATATTATATAGTTTATTTTCCGTAATTGGTATGATTTGTAAAGGTGTCTATCTCAACAAGGCAACTATAAAATTAATATAACTTATTTCGGTATACCTTTCTAGCATCAAAAAATGGTTTGTACCGGTCACACTCGTGATCATAATCCATACAGGATTCGTTAATGGCAAAGTCAAAGTCGCCAACCAGGTCATCAAGTTGGCTTACATCGTTCTTCAGTCCGATAGCTAAACCATAGCCGTGTGCCTCTGTAAAGTAATTTTCAAAGGTCTTAGTAGTAAAATATAGTGCATAACACAAGAAAAAAATTCTTGGACCGAAGATCTTTAGCACACATTTTGTGTGATCTCTTATTTTATCAAAGAATGTCAAGAAAAACACGATAAAGATATGAAACAGGTGTTACAAAGTAATGTGTCCCCTCATTTTCTGCCAAAAAATCATCATCGGTGTGTTCAGTTTTCTCCAACATTTGATAATTTTGTATACAGGTAAGTAATTTCGTGTTTGAGAAACGTGATTTTTTTTTTGGCAATAAGGATTAGTGAAATTTAGCTGTTATTATAGTTACAGTGAATCTAGTTCAAATATACTTTTGAATAATCTGCCGGATTGATAGTTGAAAAAAAGTCAAAATTGAAAAAAACATATTTATTTCACCAAAGAGCACTAATATACAAAACAGTGGTAAACAACGAACAAACTATTTTACAATCGTATGAAATTATTTACAATATTAGCCCTTATGGACAAAACACTATAAAATCCTGAAATTATGCGCAAGAAAATGTTTTAACTTGTGGACACATTAATAGTATACAAAAAATAATCTTTGAATTAAGCACAAAAAAGTTTAATTGATAAACAAGAGTGCACACGCTGAAATGTACTGCCTGTTTTATTTATCATGAATTAATTTGTGTTGAAAGACTGTAATATGACTGTAATATAACTGTAATATGAAGTTTTTACTACAAATATCACATAAACTTCATCACCATCAATGATCCATTTACATGAGGTCAAGGTCAGATGAACCCTGTCAGACAAGCATGTACACTTAATGTTGGCAAATGTTCGTTGGGCAGAATAACGGGTAGCCGTCTCAAAGTCAATAAAGAATATCCGCGTTGCTAGTTGGAGTTGATGTTGTTGACAAAGCAGCCATCAGCAAATTGAATGAGCCGTCGTGATTAAGTTTTTATATAACAAGACTAGATATTATATGTAAATGGTGCTCTTCAATTAAGAAATTAAATGCTTCTTTTTATAATTTTATTGGGGTGTAAAAGCGTTGACCGAAGCACATTTATTAAAAATGTGCTCACGTTCAACGCATTAACGCCATACAATATTATAAAAACAAGCATTCAGTTCTTAGAATTATATTTTTATGCTACAAACATGAAATTAAGAGTTATATCAAGCTATTCATAGATATTGTATTTCTTACGAAAATAAAATTTGATATGGGAGTTCCTCGCAATTGTTGTCCGCCAAAAATTACAGATTCTAATGAAACATAAATGTTATGTAATAATGGGGGTTTAAAAAATTCTCCAAGTAAAAACTGTAGCTAAAGATATTTACTAGAAGGAAAAATTTATACAACTTTGAAATTTGGCAGTCATATATTGAAAATAGTTTTTAAGAAATAAAATTTCTAGGATTAATTTTTATTAGGAACTTAACTTTGCACAAATATATTCAAAATTTACAAAATATTTGCATAAAAGTTATAAATTGTATGATATAACTTTCAGGAACCAGACGAGGCGCAACCAGCCATCCATTAAAAAAAGTTTATTCTTCTTTGGTTGGATAAAAAATTGATAATGGTTGTGAAATATCTATATTCAACTTCTTTTACAACTAAAATTCAAAGTAAGATATTACATACATTTAGCGGCTCAATGAGACCTTATGAAATAAGAAGAAAAGACCGGCTTAAGGTGCGGTTAATGTTAATCAAAAATTGTTAAATAAAAATCTTTTTCAGGCTGTCATATATGTTACACTTTCATAAATGTCCATCCCCCAAACGTGTCCGATTCGCCGAAACGTGTCCATCTCCCCCAAGCGTGTCCGCTCCAAGTTATAAGAACCAACTAAATTGTATTAATTGTTAATTTGTTCTCGTCCTTAATATACATGAAATATTTTTTTCTTGTTCACCGGGTATAACGTTCCTGTTCAAATTTCGATTTAATTTGTTTTTTTCGACTTAATTTGTTTTCAAACAACATATGTGATAACGAATAACTTTTCATATAGGTAGGCCCATTTGGACGTTTTCAAAATATGGACGTTTATTAAAAGGACACGTTTCGGTGTCTTACACAAGCTATACATGTCTATGCGTTATATGAAGACGTTTGGGGGGTTGGACACGTTTGAGGGGAAGGACACGTTTCTGAGTGTTTCATTTATATTTACATTTATATTATAATTGAAAGTTGAACAGTTTTAGAAGAAGATTTATACTAAATCACAAACAATTTTGAATTTTTCTTAATTCATTTATCATTCTATATTTAAGATTATTCATGGCTTTTGTTTAGAGAGATAGAATTTGATGGCAAAACTGCAAGATATGGAAAAGGACGAAAAAAAACTCTGTACAGAAATATCATTCGACCAATTGGACGTATGCCCGGTTTGGAAAAGGCTACATTCCAGTTCGATCTCCATATTGTTGACTTGAGCCTTAATGCAATAAGGTTTCCTCTTTTCCGTTTGCACTTGATACATAGAATATTTTTCCTTGCATTCACTATTATCCTCCTCTACAAAATGTGTTTTCTGTTGCTTCTGTTTAGATTTCGGATGTCCTGACTGCGTCTGTTGCTTATTCCTTGGTTTCACGTTAGCTGGGTGTTGCCTCCCTTTATTCCTGCACCTTTTTGCTAAGTGTCCCTTTTTTCACATATGTAGCACTTGGCGTCTTTCCATTTGCATTCATGTGGTCTATGGTTTCCACCACAACGGTAACATTCCTCTTGTCTGAATGTCATCTTATGCACGGTCTGACGTGATTCCGTAGTTTGCAAATCTTGTGCATTTTTCGCAGCTGTCTCCATCGCTGCGCTATTTCCATTGCTTTTGGAAATTTCAATTTTGGTTCAGCTAAAGGTCGCCTCTGTATTCGGTCGTCTTCTTTGCCACACACAAGTTTATCTCTTAATATGTTCTCTAATGTCATATTAAAATTACAATGTTCCGAAATATTCCTCAATTCGGCTACATACGAACTAGTCGTTTCGTTTTGATTTCTATCTCTAGTATTAAATTTATACCTCTGTACAGTTTCTGATGGCTTAGGATTTTGGTGATCTCTTACTAATTTTACCAGTTCATCAAATGTTTTTTCTCCTGGTTTCCCTGGTGCAAATAAATTTCTCATCAGTTTATAGGTTTTCTTCCCACAAGCGCTTAGTAATATTGCTCGTTTTTTCTCGGCATTGTCTATGTTATTTGTTGTAAAATAGAATTCTAATCTTTCTGTGTACTGAATCCAGTCTTCAGAATGTTCATCAAATTCTTCTATTCTGTCGTATTTGAAGGCATAACAACTGCTACTGGTGGATCATCAGCCATTGTAAATGTTTTAATTAATATAATAGTTTATCCTCGTCGACAAAATATGTGGTATCTTAACTATACACCCATAGAAAAACACAAAGTTCCTAAGCTATAATTTATTAATCCTAAACGGTCGAACTTCAAAATAATAATGAATCAATGCATGCAGCTTTAAGTGAACTTTCCCATGACCCTTATCTTACTATTGAAAACACGTGCAGACAAGACAACATTACTCAAATCTTACGGTTTCGGACTTTATCTAAATAACAATTTCGCACTTAAATACATTTCCACATGTTAGCATCAATGTATCTGTTTACAGATCATAAAGTGATAATGTTCAGTTATCACAACGGCCTAAAAGAAACCCTACACCAAGGACGCAACATATTGAGACAGTCCTTGAGAAACAGAAGACAAAATCCTATAGTACGAGACATAATCTGATAAAGAGCCAGAGCAGGGCTTCATTATTTGGTTGCCAGAGGAAGACGCACAAAGCAACACCAACAGTGATGCTGTACCTGTGGTAGGTTGGCAACAAGATAGCGTCAATTAAGCTGGTAACGATCGGACTACAGTTGGTGGTAGTCAAGAGAATGATTTTGGACATGACTCTTTCCCTCTAGCACAGTTGAACACTGGTGAACTAGCACTTGTGACTAATGCGACAACAGGCTAAGAAGCGACTGACTAGATTGATAAGAGGGGATACTTCTGACAAACAGAATGATCAGGATGGTAGTACGCTCTCAGACACATCAGGTGATACCGAGGCAAACACAAAGGAACCAGTGGCTCCAGATAACACACTGCAGTAACCAACAAGGCTCAGAGGACGAGGAATACTACATATATACACTACCATGAGAATAACCAACAACAGAGTTATAGTTACAACCAAGGTATTGGACAAACATCTTAGCTACATAAAGTAGAATGGTTAAAGAAACAACTGAAGGAAGGAAGGTTTAGAAGAATGGAGAGAGATATCACACGTACTATAATTGAAATTGTGAAAGAAACAGCATAGTGAATACCTGTTTTGAATGCTTTGACGTCATATCTTCATCAGAAGGAGGAAGAGTCGAATGGCGTGAAAGTCATTTTTCCAACACGTTAGAGAAGGTGATAGTCTTTTTATTTAGTGTATATTCAAATGGTAAAATAAAGATGCATAATTATGTAAATGTTAAATAAAACTTCAAAATATTATATTTTTTCTAAATTTTGATTACATTCAAACGTTTCCATACATTATTGACGTATTGTTAAATATTCATGATTATTTGGATTTCTGGTAATCTGATTTGTTGGTTTGAGGTTTTAGCGCTGATTTGTGACTTATTTTGTTTGAAACAGAAAGACTAATGGATTTGAAATAGATAGATGTTTATGTCCAGAAGCCATAGAAATTATTGAGAATTTATATTGAATAGATTGACAGACTTGACATTTTGACGTGAGTTTTTCTTAATTTCTTCTTTATTAATATGCCTAATATATTTTCATTGAGTGAATGATTTATTGAATGAATGATTATTTTTCTCTATTTTTTCAGAAATGTATTATTGCGACATATTTTGCAAATATATATATATACATCGTGTGTTGCATAAATAAAATGGAAGTCACTCGGTAGAACTATATGTAAATCAGTTTAGAAAGTACACACATTCCGATCGATATTATGAGGTGTATTCGATAACACTTTGTTATAAGTAAATTTTGAATACTACAGTGTATTAATTGAGTGCATCAGTCCGTACACGATAACAGTATTGATTGATTACAAATAGAAAAACATAAATAAAGTTGTATTAGAAAGAGAACGATAGTTCTGTACATATTTAAAGTATTGCCTGATTTATGTATGATTTCCTTACATGAAAACATCGCTTACATTGCATGTTTTATAACTATGTCTATGTTTCAATATGGTAACATTAAAATCATTAATTAAACCTTGTAATTTTGGATTACAGAATTTGTAAGCTGTTATATATTATAAGTTCACTGTGTGATATACCAGTATATAATATACTTTTGAAATGGTTTGTGTCATAGCAGTAACTACCTTTCTCCACAAGTTGGTGAGGATTAGTAATATGCTATTAGAATTATAATGTATTTTTCTAAAATAGGTTGAAAAAACTAAGTATTATGTAAAGCAAAATCTCATTTGCACTTATTATGTTCACAATTTAATCGTATTTTTGAAGAGCAATGTTTTGTATATTACCATTAAATGTGATGATAGTATGTTATAGTTTTTATATGTAATACCAAATTTATGATTTTATCATTGTTACTAGAGGATGTTTAACGTTACCCTGAACCCTAGCAAATCGGCTCGAGTTTTATATGAAGCCTGAAAGTCAGCTATTACATAGGTATACTTGAGACTTTCCTTCACTGTCCAGGTCTACCTCCAAACCGGGTTGAATGCTCTCAAACGTTTTATATTTCTATGGTTTCCAACTGTTGGTCTCTAGCGTACTTTATGAAGGTCAATCCAGAAACACGTCGTGTGTGCACGAATTAAGTATCATATGTTGTGTGAAGGTGGTTTACAAAGGTTAGATGTTGAAATAAAGATTATCCGTTTGAAACGCCTTCGTTCATATGAAATTGGATTTATTTGATCACTACCTCTTTATTATGATATCAGCAGTTGATATTTATCATTTAATTGTTCTTGGAGAAGACAATTAAGATTTTAAAATATTGAGCGGAAAATGATTAAGTGTAACATATGAATATTTCACTTGTATGTTGAAACATGATTGCAAAGTTTAGACGAGGATAAAAAGTGAGGAACGTCGGTAGTTGTCCTTCATATATAAATGTTTTACCTCTCGCTAAATATCTGTTATAGTCCAATTGATTATCTGATGTTAAATGGAGTCCTGCTTGATTCTGTGCCCATCCATCAACATTATCCGGATCTACACCATCACAATGGCGAGATTTTGCATGAGCAATCCGATCCCTCATTATACGTCTAACTCTACAAAACAACGTAGTGATATGATAAATTGTACTGTTTTAGTAATTTTGATTGATTAGTTGATAAGTGGATGGTTGACTATCAGCGCAAAGTATTTCATGCATATGAAAATGACATGTTAATGCAATATGAATGTACCCTGCTATGTACCAGCCTGTTACATATAACGGGCTAGTCTACCAGTTAATGGCCAGAGAAGATATATCTCCATAGCCGATCAGTTTCGGCGGAGAAGCAGCAAATAATAATTTTAAAGATTTTGTTTTGACTCACTTGAATAAAACAAGAAAATTTGTTTTTTCGTATGAATAACAACAAGATGCTCTACAGAGCCTGTGTCGCTCGCCTGGATATATGTGCATCTTCAACAATTGCCCGACATTATAAGACTAGCATATCATTCATGATCAACATATCTTATTTGTTGATCTCCCCCATTCCAAACTAAAAGACAAATTGAAAGAGTTGGTCCTGCTTTGATTCATCAAAAAGAATGGCCAACTTAGATACAAGCATCTTGTCTTAGGGAGGGATAAATCCTACTTTGTAAAAAATCTCTCTGATTCAAACAAAAAATTCTCTGAAACGGACATTATCAAGGCCTTACCTTGACCTATAATGGTTTACTTTTATAAATTGTAACTTGGATGGAGAGTTGTCTCATTGGCACTCATACCACATCTTCCTATATCTATTATCAAGATACTTGATTTCTTGATTGACAACATATTTGTTACGTTTGGAGGACGTGTTTTTCAACAAACAATCGGCAACCCCATGGGAACCAAATGTGCCCCCTTCTTGTCGACTTGTCCCTTAATTTATATGAGGCTGACTTCATACAAGAACTTCTTAGGAAGAAAGAAAAGAAGTTAGCAGTATCCTTTAACTTTACTTTCCGCTATATTGATGATGTTCTCCCACTAAATAATTCAAAATTTGGTGACTATGTTGAACACATCTATCCCATCGAACTTGAGATTAAGGATACAACAGATACAGTTAAGTCTGCCTCATATCTTGACTCACATCTAGAAATTGACAATGAGGGTCGGTTGAAAACAAAACTTTACGACAAAAGAGATGATTTCAGTTTTCTAATTGTGAACTTTCCATTTCTATGTAGCAACATTCCAGCAGCGCCTGCAAACGGAGTATATATCTCCCAGTTGATACGATATTACAGGGCTTGAATTTCCTATCATGATTTCATTGATAGAGGGTTGCTGCTCACAAGGAAGCTACTAGACCAAGAGTTCCAAGTGGAGAAGTTGAATCATCCCTTCGTAAATTTTACGGACGCCATCACAAAATAGTTGACCTTTATGGAATATCCGTTTCACAGATGATAGCGGATATGTTCAAAATGTCGTAACTACAATTCCGTCCCCTTTTCCCCAAATGTGACCTACCGAATTAGACTTATTAACGGGTTTGTACTAACATGAGCATCACGACGGGTGCCACATGTGTAGCAGGATCTGCTTACCCTTCCGGAGCACCTGAGATCATCAAGTTTGTGTAAGGGTTCGTGTTGCTCAGTCTTTAGTTTTCTATGTTGTGTTTTGTGTACTATTGTTTGTCTGTTGGTCTTTTTCTTTTTTAGCCATGGCGTTGTCAGTTTATTTTCGACTTATGAGTTTGATCATCTTATCATTTCAGATTTTCTCTTTTATCTATAGTTTTCAAGATATCAGTTCTATTTTGATCCATGGTTGCCATGTTGGTGGATTGGCTTGAATAAAAAAAACATGAACTTTATACTAGATGGCCTAGGGATCATTCAGGCCAAGTTTGGTTAAAATTGATTCCGTAGTTTCAGAGATCATCGAATAAGTTTACGACAGACACCAGACGACGACAGACGCCATTTGGACTAAACATTATGTATACATACTGACTATTTCTTATGTCAACCCATGTCTCGCCTTTCCAGTCCTTATTAGGAACCCCAAGTCCATCGGATGGAAACTTGCCGGCATCATTTCGCCAATCTTCTTTCGTTCCAGCAGAAAAGTAACATATTACCCTTTTCCCTTTCCTGAATTTGGAGGAAACATATTACAAAGAAAGCTTTGAGACAAAAATCATGTACGGTATAAATAAGTTAGCAAAAACTGTTAACGTCAAATTGTCTGAGATAATTGGAGCATCTATAACACAGTTTATGAATTGCATCTGAGAATGAATGTTTACAACAAATAGTGACAACGTTATTGACTGTTTAGAAGCCATAAAAAAATATAGTTAATCAACAGTGTTATCGACCAAGTAACAGTGAATCAATAATGCAAACAGGCAATAAAATTTAAAAATAAAGTGCGGTATCAAATTCATTATAACTGGAAATTGCATAGTGTTTGTATAATTTGCGGCAGATATGTTATGCTTTTTTAGCATTATTTTGCAGCGTCTTTTTAATTTCTAGGTAACTCATGCAAAGACAAGCAGAAACCCCACCGACCAAATTTTCCAATAGGCTTTTTTCAACAAAAATAAAGATTTTGCTCGCAACAATATGACAAACCTGTGGAGATCATCAATGATACTTGTAGGCACATCAAACAAATCGACGACAAACATGTCTCCATGAACACCAGTGTTGATGTGATGTTCATTTATCACATCGTTCCAGGCCATGTGCTGATGTGGGCGCCACCACGATGCATGTACAAATAAAAAGCACGAAATCAAAATTACCAAAGTTGGCAACATGTTCAACCAAGCATTTATTTATTCTCTGTTAGGTATCTTTGTTCAATGTTTAACTTCTTATCAGTCGCGACCTCTCTTTACTTATATACATATCTATAGAGATAATAAAGATCCGATGTCACAAACAGTAAGATCGCATGATGTATGACAATAATTGGACCTACACTTTACTACACTTTACAACGCTTAAACCTTTGAGATTTACTACTAGTATTAAAGGATGGTACAACCGAAGAACTATGTGAACGTGTATAACACAAAAAGAACGATATACACTCAAGTACAGTAGACTCTTTCAGAGATTAGAGAAAGATAGACTAGACAACTTCAAAAGATAACCTGCTAGTAAAAATGATTACTAGTTTTTAAGGCAAAGTACAGTCAGTGAGCGTTTGGTGTTGTATAGATGTTTTATAGCTCACAAGTCAGTTCTTTGGTACTTCTCTCCTTTGGTTTTAGCAATAAAAAAGGACGATGAAAATCTCCCATTTTTATACTGGATACCTCAACTTCACAAAAATCCTTATGAAGAACGATACATCTTTCTAATGTTCTGACCACCATTCTTTCTGTAGTAAAAGATGATTCTGAAATATCGTGATTAAAGCGAAGTGGGAGAAACCAAAAGGATATTCAAACTCATAAGTCGAAAACGAACTGTCATACCGTGGCAAAAAAAGACAAACAACAGCCTACAAAAAACAACATTGAATACTGCAATTGTCTCAATAGGTTAAATTATAGATCAGTCAACTTCACTCGTATCTGAAGATCTAAGATTGCGAAAACATGTCGTTCGTTAGGTGGGATTAAAGTCTGTCTATTACCTAATGCTGTATCTTAAAAATAAAAGTAAACAATTGCCTATAATTGCTTACATCCACTTCATTTGAACGTTGGTGGATAGTTGTCTCATTGGCAATCATACCACATCTCCGTATTTTTATATAGTAGCATACATATTCTGTTGGTTTTCCTTCGTTCTCCGAGGATTTCCTTTATTATTTGATTTATCATGTTTGTTACAAAGCCAGGTTTTCGGTCTTTGCAGTTGTTTTCGACAAATCTCACTGCTTCTTTTTGCACTTGTTCTATCAATGTGATCTTTTTTGCCTTGCATATGATGGGGTGACGGAAAAAACGCGAAGTACTAACATTGAACTATGATAACGTTGTAGCCATAACGCTGTATTGTATGACGTTATTGTATAGATTCCATTACTATATATCACGACGATTAAACGTATATTGCAATTATAACGTATTTATTGAGATTCCACAACATTTAATGGTGCCGTGAACAGGATATGGATTCAATGCTGAAGTCAGTTTGTGCTGGACACAAAGGAGCCGTAAGAAGTTACTGTTAACATTCTACGAGTTAAAGTCTAACACAAATACAGAAGTTGACGAAGTGAAAGTTCTCGATGATGCCGTCACGCAGAAACAGAAAACATTGATTGACTTAAATAGCAGACTTTTGGATCAAAAATCGGAAGAAAATCCGGAACAGGAAATCACCAACTCAGATGAGTATATGTATGAACTAGATTGCAAGCTTAGACAAATTCGCAAATTTACCAAGTCTTTAGAAAAAAGTAAAATAACGAAAACACCGAACTCCAAGGAAAATTCAAAACGGAAAGTCCCTTATCAAATGGCAAAATTAAACAAACACTAGAACGTCACATGATGTATGTAATGTTGATCCTTCAACAAGCAGACTTAACGTAAATGCATATAATTTCACGCCCGAGGTCAGAGTTGATATGAACACTTGTGCAACAGATTCTTTGAACAAGCAGTATTCAATTGACGCCCCTGCAGTACATACCCGATCGTCAGAGAATAGTATGTATCAAGTCCCGTTAGGGTCGAAATCGTCAAAAAGTAATTACTACAGGCTACCTAAGTTAGACTTGCCCTATTTTAATGGAGATATACTCAAGTAGCAAACATTTTTGGATTGTTTCGAGTCATTTATTCATCATAATAATACTTTAACGCCAATCCAAAAGACCAATAATCTAAAAGCCCAGCCTGCGGAAAGCGCCGCACAAACAGTAGAGGGATTCGCTTGGACCAATGCAAATTACGAAACCGCAGTCAACCTTCTTTGAGATCGTTACGGACAATCAAGTAAACTGATACATACTTGCATGAAAGCACTCATGAACCTACCCCCACCAACAAATGATGCATAGAGATTGAGGTTTTACGGAGACGAACTAGAATCCTATGTGCGAGGCTTCTAATCACTTGGTCAAACACCAGATATGTATGGATCGCTTTTGGTCCCAGTTGTTTTGGACAAATTACCAATTGAAATAAGGAAATCTATTGCGCGAGAACAAGGGAGACATAATTTGTTCTTAGAAAATTTACGCAAATCGATAACTATAGATATCGACTTACTCGAAGCAGGACAAGGGGTCACGGAATCAGACGGATTGCACACCATTGCATTTTTCATGGGTACGAAATCATATTCATACATCAAGGCCAAATTCTCAGAATCACGTAAGAAGCTTAATACACGTACATGTATTTTTGTTCAGGTGAGCACTTTCAGACAAAGTGCACTGAAGTAACAGACGTAAACAAGCGAAGTCAAATTGTCAAACAGAAACAGTTATGCTTCAACTGTTTAGGGTCACATTGAGTGACCGCATGTAATTTTATAAAACGATGCAAAACATGTAACGGAATGTATCATACCAGCATATGTAAAGGAAAAGAGGTCATTCCAGGTACGACACAGCAGCCTACAATGATTTACTAACAGTCAGCGATAACCGTAGTTGAAACAACAGACGAGACTAGTGTAATGCATTCTTCACAACAAGTCGCGACATTCTTCTTGAAACATCCATTGCACCAGTTAGTTATATCGACCAAGGAATAGAATCTAACATCTTGTTTGACGAGGGAGCACAACGTTCGTTCATAACTCAAAACTTAGCGGATAAATTGGAGATAAAACCGACAAGAAAAGTCAGCATTCATCTGACTGCGTTTGGAAATTTATCACAGAATGTTCAAAACTTAGACACTGCAACAATACAACATACCTACACAGGAGAAAAGATCCGTATCAACACGCTCATTGTTCCACAGATTGCCGTCCTGATTCAGAAAAAGATTTCGCATAATATAAGGAGCTTGCCACACTTTAGAAGATTTAAACTTGCACACTCTGTGCCAAGCTATAGAACGTTTCGAAATTGATTTACTAATAGGCGCCGACTACTACTGGGGAATTATCGAGGACCAAGTTATTAGAGGAAAAAGACCCACCGCTGTTCAGTCAAAGATCGGATATTTATTATCATGACCAATCAGTAGAAACATCAACCAGTCTTCATCATCTACAGTTCGTCATTTCATACCAGAACACAGCTATTGCCTACAAGAACGGAAAGTACACGGCAAAGTTACCATGGAAACATGACCATCTAGATCTACTTTCAAATATGGCCGTTGCTATAAGTAGGACAGAGAACATATCGCAATGCCTCGTTCAAAGCAGAACGCACGTAAATTCACTTGATGAAAAGCTCCAAGGACACAAATTAGAATCAAGGCCACCCGTTAGAGCAAACCAGCAACTGGTAGAGTCAAGTAGCCACATAGATACAGGCCAGGAATAAGTAACATGCAAAGACGATTACTGTTTCGTGTGTGCCAGAAGAAACATCCATGAATGGACTAAGAGATAAACTTTAATTGTGATCAGTTAAGGTTAAGTGACTAAAGTATTTCATTTGAGGTGGACATTATTTTTACATTTCTTTTATCTAAAGTGTGAACTTCATTTATTTAAGTTTTCATGATTACATATTTCAATTTTGTCTGCCCCCAGAATGTCGGAAAATACGCGAAGTACTAACATTTAACTATGGTAACGTTGTAGCCATAACGCTTTATTGTATGACGTTAATTTATAGATTTCATAGCTATATATCACGACGATTTTAAAAATGTATATTGCAATCATATCGTACTTATTGAGATTCCACATCAGGAGGTAATCGATACAGGTTTTTAATTGGAACCTAAATGTCTTTCCTCTTTCTTGAATAGGGGTACTGCATTAACATCTCTCTAATCTTGTGGGACTTCTCCGGTGTTGGGTGATGGTTGTACAGATTTTTGAGAATAGGAGCGAGTTGGTATGTCGCTAGTATGAGAGATAAAATTGAACCTGGTCCAGTAGCTTTTATGTACTTTGTGGACTCCTTTGGTGATTATTTTATCTTTGTTCTATTATATTCCTTTTGGTCGTATAACTCGACGTGGCTCGGTATTTGTGTAACCAGCTTTCGGGTTTTGGGCTTTGGGTGTTCCTGATGCTGGTGGGTCCAGAGGTGCAATTCGGACGCTTGAAGTTTAATCGTGGGTTTTTTTCCATTTTGTATACCTTTGCATTTATATTGTTTTACTTAAGTTGTACCCTATCGGGAAAGTGTAGTTGTCATTATGTTTAACTATACTGTGTGTACTATCAACTACAAAAACAGTCTTTGTCAGATTTATTTGTATGTTTGTTTAGTTTTGTTGTATGTATGTGATGTA